AGACCGATGTCTCTCTTGCCTGGCTTACATCTCGAACACAGTGGCTGATGTGTGGCGAAGTGGCTCAGAGGTCAGGACACAGATGGCGCAACTGAGATCTGGGTTTGAATCCAAGTTTAAGCCCCTCATGATGAAACGAGTTCACCAAACATAGATAAATTTACTAAATTAAATCTGGGGTTTTGATTTAGTTTTGCCAAATTCCAACTCTATGAATTGAAAAATATTGGCTTGACTTTGTCACCCAACAATCTCATCGCGGAGCCTATGGAAGAGTTGTCACCCTTCACTGTGTATAGAATATTAAAAAAATACCAGTTGAAGGCTTTTCTGGAGAACTCCTGTGGAAAATCTCTTGCTTAATCCAACATAGGTCCCAATTAACTCTCAGTATATTACTTTCTGTAATTGGACAGCAAGAGATGGGGGAGATGGGGGGAGATGGGTGACGGCATTTGGCACTGCTTACCCTTGACATGTTCATGTGCAATTTTACTGAAGGACTGTGTGTTTTATTGGTCTGGTCTGGGACTGTTTTTGTCTTGCTGCCTTGCCCAAGATTGCATTTTGTGTTTCAAAATCGGCAGGAATTGATGCACTTAGGCAATTTGTACTTGTAGATGTTATTTATTTGTATTTACATTTAGTAACTTGCTTTGCTTTCCTTAAGTTTGCATTCATATTCGCTTCTGTGTTGTTTGTTGTTGTAACTTTCTGACCCGCCCCTACTGGACATCTTTGAAAAGAGCTTTACAGCTCATCGGATTCCTCCAGTCTCAATAAAGATTCCGATTAGGATTCTTAAAAAGTATTTTTTTAAATTATGCTACAGCTCACTTCACTATTCCCACGTGTATTTTGGGTCTGCCCGGTATTATTTTGGTTTTGGTTGTTGCCAACTTTAAACAATCCCACTGCCTGGCTTTGTGGAAGCACCTACACCCCAGGGAGGTCATCTCTGAATTATTGCTTTAAATACCGCCGCTTCCTCTGACCTTTTGCGGAGCTCATCGTTTGATAAGTGATGCTGCTGCTTCACTTCTAGACGCTTGCAGAGGCAATATTTTAGAAATGCAGCTATTTATTTCTGTCTCTCATTTAAAATTTCCATATTGTTGCATCCTATCCAAATCCTGAGAACTACTTTAATACGCTCATCCTAGCCTGCTTCATACGCTGATATTTTCATTTTCCCAGATGTATTATATAGCCCATTAAATAAAGCTGATGCTTGAGGTTTTTGTGTGATTTACTCTCCTGCCTCTCTTAATACCACTGTCTAGTGATGGAATGGCAGCTTCTTATCAGATATTTTTGCTCATTTAAATGGGCTTGCAGTTTCGTGAATTCTTCCGTTGCTAGATCATCAGTAACTGTGCTGTAATTATGTCGCTGTGAAGGTAAACTTTTGTGCAGTGCGGTGCAATCTGTATCATTAGAATGTCCATTCCCCGAGTACACCTTGCTGTTGGATGATATGGTGCTCATCTTGTTTGGCACTGTGATATTTTATCTGCGTGTAACATTTGAAACCAATTTCCTATTGTAAAATAGAAAATAAAGAGCAAAGTGTCACTGAGACTGATTCAGAAGATGTCCCGAGTCGGGGTTGTTTGGCCACTTCCACCAGCGAATGGAGAACTCAGAGAAAGCTCAGCTCTGTTGTTTACAGGAGTAGGCCATTGGTGACAAAACATTATGCCAATGAAGAAAGAGCATGCAAGCTGAAACTTAACCTTTTATTTTACCATTACCATATTGTAATCGCAGTAGATAATGAATAGCAAATTAAATATTCATATCTTACAAACCTTTGTCAATCCGCTGCTTGGTGAAGGAGGCTTTAACACGCCATCGGAGTTGTTGACCGTACTTCACCACACTGGTCACTCTATCCCAGGATGCATTTAGTATTTAAACTATATCACGTGTCAAGTTGTCGCTTTACTAAACCTATACCTAAGTGTATGTTTTGTAACACAAACATAAATTATGAATCATAATATTGGCTGCAAAAACCGGTGTTAAATAAAATAACAAGTAAAAAAATAATAATAACAGGTTTTTTTACTGTCACTGGGAGGAAATAATGGATCTTGACATTTGTACAACTGATCTTCTATTATAAAGGTTTTTTTGGGTTAGATCACGTAAATATATAAATGTGTTGTTAAACCCGCAGTTGGCCAGTCGGCCAGCATGCCACTATCATCCTTTCATCACAGTCATAGATTAAAAACATTGTTGTCATAAATAATCTCTTTTTTAATAATCTTATGCTACTGCATCAAAGCCAACTCACAGTCTATTGGACACACGTAAAAAAAACCAGAACACATTGGGACTTAACTACATTGGTTTGGCAGGCAAATAGAACAGAGGGCAATGATTTACACGCAACATCGTTAAACGGTATATTTTATTTCACGTTGAAACACGGCAGAGATGATTACCACTTTGTAATTTTCACAGGTGACGTAATGTCACCTTGCTGAACAAACATACTCTTTGGTTCTACGTGACTTTACCGAAATAACCAAAGAGTATGGATTGCTGCAGTCACGAAAGCTTCAAATCAAGATATTCTTGCTGAACAAGTTTTGTATTCGAATTATTCTGCAGAAACTGAATTAAGGATGACAGTGTTCTTGTTAATGTTTTAGGGTCGTTTGCGATGATGATGAAGAATATGGCAAAGATGAAATAGTAAAAATATACATGAGAAAATTGTTACGGAGAAAAAGACCGTTTAAACAGGCTATGCATTTAAATATAATGCAAAAGTATAAAGAAATAGAAAATATTAAACTGGTGCTTTAACTCAAACTTATGCAGCTGATGGAAGACAGGAACATATTCAGATGTAACTCTGCGTGTGTATGGGTAGAAAGAGAGCGGTGGCATTTCACAATTACAGAACAATTATATGAGCTCCATTGACAATTAATTATCACACAGTGTATGTCAAGATTTTCATAAAGTGCAAAGCTTCATCATTAAGTGGAAGCACACGAATAAACAACCATTCATTTGTGTAATCTGGTGATGATGCTGCAGCCCGACAGACAACTCGTAGCAGATTGACTTGTGCAAAAGTCATCAGCAAAAATGCGAAAATATCGCCCCACTCACGGGGAATCGAGGCAGGGTGCGTAATTACTCTGTTTTATGATCGGGCCTTTCAAGGGCAGAGTTTTCTGGTGGCCGGGATTGTGCATCGCTTAGCAGCGACAAACCCCGGCATGTTTACTGCCAACAGACGCGTGGGTGGCAGCAAATGTTTCCCATAACTTTTGCTCACAAATCTGTGACCACCGTCAAGTGAGTTTTTACTGTGAAATTGTTTCCCCAGTGGATGCTTCAAATTATTTAAATTTGAGATGTGTTGACAGCGCAATCATGACAAAATTGCGTTTTTTTGTACATGTGAGTTATTTTATCTGGGGAACGTTGGGATTCATAACTGCGGTGCCCTCTATTCAAATTGCAAACACCTCGGTTTAAAAAAACGTCTTCGACAATAATCCTGTGATGATCCCACCGCGAAGGATATGGTTTAAATAATGAAAATGTACAAATTGCAAATTGCCAGCGAGCGTGCATCACGCGTGCCATCATTTTTCCAGGCCACATTTGTGGAAAATTGTGCAGAAATTGTTCCTGGGTTGAACAACACTGTGTGGCCTGTCTTAACATAAAATCCACACACACTTCTGGGACCACTCTAGTAGATCCTAAGAATTGTGACTTGTATTTTATAGTTTTTTTTACTTTTTATTATTCAGGTCACACCAAAGTAAATGTTATCACCAATGCCCCAGTGAGAAACATGGCTTTATTTTCTCACCTCCATTGACAGCCTGACGCCAAAAGTCGGAAGCTCCTGCAGTTTGACCGTTAGGGACCAGTCTAAATGAGGGACAACTGCTGCTGACTTTCCACAAAGTAGTACTAATTTTATCAAACCTAGAAAAGACGACGAGATGAAAGAGATGATGGACAATCCATAATTCTGAAATTTTCAAGCTTTAACCTTCCTATTTGAAATTGAGTTTTATTTCATATTTTGGCAATAAATGTTCTTATTTATTCAGGAAGGCATTATTGAGCCTCAAGAGAACAAATACTTTAATGTTTGGCCAATTCCTAAATAAGCATTTTACGTGTGGGAGGAATGCATAGTAGCTCATAAGCATAACCACTAAAACATATCTAAATATATCATTCGGCAATCCGCTTGGTGTTCTGTAATTTCCTGGCCAAACATGAACATGTCATCTAACACCTTCCATCATTATGGAAGCCCAAATGGCCATTAGACTAAAGCATATTCATCTCTGTTTATAGAGATACAGAAATTATTATTTTTTTATTTTTAGAATTATCCACAACACTCTACAACAGCGCATAATGAGTTTTCACACTTCTAAGTTTTTTTTGCACTGCCATGACCATGTTATACAGAGGGAGGTCTCTTGCCAATGACGTCTGGTAAACAAGCAGTATTTGTAAATAAAACAGACTTTGATGATGAGGCCCAGAAGGTCAAAGCTGGTAGACAGTTTACTTTCCTAAAACATGTTTAATGGCAATCTACAAAGTCACAAGGTGTCACGGATCTTGAGCAAAATCAGATGAACTCTGTCTCCCTCTGCTGCTGGATGGTTTAACGCCGGCATATCGTGTGACGGGACGCGTAGACTCGCTCTCTCTCTCTCTCTGTATCGGTGGCATTGCGGAGGGACTGGCAATTGACCAACTTCATCAGTGCCGACGCCATCTCCTTGCGAGACGTGCGAATGCCATCTCATCGGTGGAGAAAGGCCTTGAGGCCGGTAAACTAAGCCGAATGGATGTTTATGCGATGATAAACAGACGGGATCATATATTCATTCCATTAACATTTAAAGGTTTTCTCAGACGCTGAACAAACATGACAGAGTTAAACATCACTTATTTATTCGATCGATGTGGCTCTCTCTCTTGCCCGACGCATGCAGGTGGATGCTGAACAGCACGGAGATCGAGTACTCCGAGAGATTCAGTCTGCAGGGTGGTAACCTGGTGATCAGCGATGCGGAGCGCTCGCTCCACTCGGGGCAGTACCAGTGCGAGGCGAGCAACGTGGCCGGCTCCGTGCTCAGCAACAAGGCCACACTCCACTTCATCTGTGAGTGTTCGTTAACCCCAAGGGCCAGACAGCTGACGTGCAATTGCCACGACTCGCGCATCTATGCAGCTCGCACAGCCTCCACTCTCTGAGCTCAGAGAAAAGGTAAAGTGGCAGCCCTAAGGTTGCTTTGCTCCATGCCATTGCTGGCAGAAGGGAGCTGCAGAGAACCCCTCTTGAGGGCATTTTGGCACAATGGTCCATGCTGGGCAGAAGTCTTAGAAAACTTAGAATACCCACACTTAACCCCACCACACGCAACCTGCCGATCGACTCGCTGTGAGGAAAATCCATTGACACTTTTGGCTGGACAGAGGCGGGAGGATTTAAAGGACTTGCACCGTTGTTTTGAGCCCCACGCCAGGGGATTAAACAGGCGCCTTCTGGATTGCAAGTCCAGCGTGTTGACCATTCCACCATGCCAGGATCCATTCCTTTAGCAATCATCAGTGACATTGCTTTCACGAGCAATCTCTTACGCATCGTGCACATTGCATGTGCGTGCCTGGCCAGATGTGGTGATGCATGCTTGAATTACACCGCTTTAGAGGTGGCCTTGGTGGATCGTTAAACAGCTTCCAATTACAAAATAGCAGTGACGCCAATGGTTCTCGTATCAGAGCCCGACTGACAGAGCCTTCTCACTCAGCTGCAGGTTTAACCACCATCAGCGGCATTCAACTTTAAACCAGTTGGTAGTGCGTTCAGCGCTTGTTGTAGAGGTTCACGGTTTGAATCCAGCGGCCACCCTGGTTAATGCTGCCATGTGTGTAGTAGCCGTAATAATACTACGCGCCGTATGCTTCAAAGTGGACGTTGGAGATCCTGTAGTGTCAGTCGCAAGGGTAGACCATCCTGTGCTGGAGCTTCGCTCAAAATTCCCCACGTGTGCAAGTATGGGTGGAACGATGCATCGATCCATCGATGAATGGTGCTTCTTACAGGCTCACGATGCGTGCATAGAATCCTATTGTTCGTGGTCTCACAATGCCACAATCTGTATACCGCCGCAAATGAGCTGATCTCATCACTCCATCTCCACAGTGGTCGTCCTCTTGGGATTGTGTTCTCTCCGTTCCCTGCCGCTGTATCAACCGGCAGACAATAGGCCATCATCTCAGCCATGGGCCATAATCCCTATCGGGATCTGTCCTGCCCAAGCCTAACTTACATTTCTTAAGAGTGAATGCGATATTCTTAATTTGGAAATGACGGACGAGTATCTTTAGGGAACACCGTGCAGCATTCTAACAGCATGCCGATGAAGCGTAGCTCTTGCAATGTCTGCAAGTGGCCTGGTGTGGTGTCCAGCATCGGGGAGCGCTGCAGTGATCAATGCGAGACGGCATCAACAACGCGGCCAATCTAATAAAGTGAACTCAACAACAATGGGGGTTAGGGTGCAGTTTTTTCGAGGAGCATACGGGCCAGTTTAACCAGCCACTCAGTCAATCAAATTGCTTATTTATAACCCGGAGAGAGAGAGAAAGATGGAGACAGCACGTTGCATTTGTCCGACGAGACCCGGGGAAACGGGCGTGCAGGATGGATGAGACCGGCGCAGCGAGTGTGGCGGTGGACAGCACTTTTGTGACATTTCCATTTCCAAGTGCAAAAACGAATTTATATAAATCAGGTGATTTAGCATTTGTGATAAATGCAATTATTATTGAATATAAATGTATTGCCCTTTGTCAATCCATGACTGGATGAAGGCCATCCCACACTGTCAAGGACAAACACAAACACGAGGATCCATCCATAACCCCCACACACCCTCCCCCTCAGCCTCTGTCAAACCTACAAAGAGGAGCTTGCTGTAGTCAATGGGCACACTGTGCAGGGTTTGACACTTGTGCACTCGCTAGATATTGCCGCCGTGGATGGCTGTCGTGCAGAGGAGGAGATGTCGCTCACGTTGCCTGGACGTTGTATTGCAAGGGAATCGGCAGGTTCCACTTTGCCGCTTTGGAGAGAAGCAGAGTGTGCCGCGCACGGTGGCTTGCGTGTTCCATGCGTTCATGTGTTGCAGCCACACCTGCGGCCCGCATGCTAATCGCGCCATGCAAGTGTGCCTGGGGACACAATTGTGGCCACTGCATCGCACGTCTATGCTACTGGGACGTTGCCTGGAGGTGACCTTGTGGGAGTGAGCCCAGTCCTGCAGACGCTGCTTTCGCGCCGCACGGCACCGGCTCCCCGCTTCATCTCGTTCCCGGCCAGCGCTGAAGAATAGACAACAAACGACTCTGAGATCCGTTTTCTCTCGGTTGCATCGCGACGACCACTGCAGCGATGATGGCTGGCTCGCGTGCGGCCTAACGAGGGCGTCCACTCGGCCTGTGCGCCACGCCTGGGTGTGCCATGCAGGGACGATGGTCACCAGGGTCTGTACTAAAACCTGCGACGCCCACGTGCGCACGCGCACTCTTCTCTCCGTGGCGCCGAAGTGGCTGGCAGACAGTTTCTCCGCACCGGCGGATGTCTGTTAAGAGATGCTGTAATCTTCATCTGCTGCAACCATGGCTGCTGGTTGCTGGCTGCTAATTTGCAGCCCACGACATAGTCGGAGGAAAGTTACATTTGGAGACGCTGTCCCGCGGCACCACGCGCAGGGCTATTAGCTTCCTGGAAGAGCGCTGTCCCTGCCCGCATTGCTTGGATGGCAGCCAGCATTGCGCTTTGGAGAAGATGGCCTTGGTTTGTTACCGCACGCTGCGAGCTCCGAAATCTTACCACTGATGCTGGCGTCAACAACAACGACGACGTTGCCGAGGCTCGATGCGACGATGCTGTTCCTCTTGCACAGGTCCACAGCGTGGAGGAGCTCGTGTGCGTGTGTGAAGCTGCATCAATTCGCCTTGGGTTGTTGACTGTGTGGGAAAGCTGACGATGTGTGACGATGTTAATAAGGGTGTGCACCCTCGTGTGCAGTGTGCCACATTCTGCACCCGTCTGCTGCAAATGCACATCGGGATGTAGCATTTACACCATTTTCACCATCATTTACATCATCATTTACATCATCGTTTAGACCATCGTACAGAATATGGAGCTTGCACGTTCCATGCAGCATGTCAGGGGACGTGTGGATGAAACCATCCACACGGCTGGAAAATTCGCGGAGATTCTTAGCTCAAACCACCAAGGTGTCCGCCTGCTTATTACGTTGAGGTCAGCGCAACGGAGAATGCGGTTTAAGTCAATTTGTGTACAACAGCCTTTTAATATGGAACCGAAAACTGATTTGAGGAAGATGTATGACCTGCATATGAGATGAGGTCAAAATGTCATGGGCAGTAAAGAGTTGGGTTCTTGATTAAAATCTCTCAACGTCACGGCGGCAGGGTGGCTCAGGAGCCACGGTGTCCGTGCGGAGCTGCAGGAGAATGAATGATGCTCTGTGTATCTCACGGGGTTTATTCAAACTTCCGGTTAAATAAAGGATACATACCTATGTACAGTAAGTGCATGCACAAACGTCATACAAAATATGATTTATCGCGATCTTAACCCAAAAACCTCTATTATGGATGATATTGGTCGCGAAAGCCTCCTACGTGTTAAACCAAATATGGTTTAGCTCGGTTTTTTTTTGCCTCGCCCAGTTGTGAGCATTGATCATCCGGTGTAAACGACACGAAGTGAACCTCTCATCTGAAGTGGTGAAGAGTCTCCTGGCCATGCCACGTAAATCCTTGGAGGATGGTGCGATGAAGTCCACCGTTCGCTTTGCCCTTGTGGCTCGATTCTGTGTCGGGAATTTTTAAACGCATGAATTCTAGGTTTAGCGATTCATTGATTGATATTCATTACACTGGTCCACAAAAAAAAACATTTTTTTTCTGGCCTGGACTTTTGCAGCTGTTTTAGACTAATTTCAGGGTGCTGATTCCAAATCTGATCTCAGATTTGCTCTATCACATTCATTTGTATGCTATCGGCAAACGCCATTTTCATTGATTTTACCCAAATTTAACTCTGTCACTTATGATTGCAAGTTGTTGCGAGTCAGTGACTGCTTTAGTGTTAAAATATGGTGCTATTATTTTTAGGATAGTGTGTTTATAATATAATTTTATGTAGATATCCACATTTATTTTATATTTTTCTTCTGCAGTTTTTATTGAAAATGCAATATGATATCTCAAAAACCTGATGTGATAGACAAAAACTGATGCCAGATTTGGAATCAGCACCCCAAAATTACCTTAAAACCGTTGGAATACCTTGTGCCAGAAAAAGTGTGTTGACCAGTGTAATGCCTTCAAGAGGACTTGGCTGCAAGGTAGCCATACAATTCCAGTACAGCAAATGTATTCTTGAAGCCTTCCGTGTCAAATTTTGAGTGTTCTCCACTTACATGGTGAGTTTTCTCTGGGCTCTCGAGTTTCAACACACGCTCATTTCCCTAGAACTGCTTTTTGTGTTTAGTTTGTTGTCCTTCACCCACACCCCTGATTAGCACGGTTAGCTATGTATGGTGCGAAAGAAGTTCGACATACATGCATACAACATTAGTGGCCAATCACCCTATGAATGTGTATGTGTGACCTCCCTGAACAAGAGTTTTATGACCCAGTGAGGCTTTGCTGACTAAATAAAGGGCACTGCTATTGTTATGATGCACTCTAAATGTCTTCATGGCTTGCCGTCAGAAGGTTTATAGACAAAAACTGATGCCAGATTTGGAATCAGCACCCCAAAATTACCTTAAAACCGTTAGAATACCTTATGCCAGAAAAAGTGTGTTGACCAGTGTTATTGAATCTGCCGTCGTGTTTAATGTGTTGAGTGTATAAGAGTTTAAGTTTGTCGATGTATGCAAATCGTACGCGTAGTGCACGATGAGGATATTACATTCAGGGTGACGGGTCTAACAAAACAGTGCAAACAAGACATGAGAGAACGAGAACGGCTACGAATGACATGGTTAAACATTTTTTGGAAAGGATTACATTTAATTCAATCGAGTCGTGGCCCTGAATCAGGAGAATGCA